CGCCGTGTGTTAGCCTCGGCCCGGTCGAGGGAGGATCCACAGGCCGAGCCTGCCGAGCCAGCACACCCCACCGCGCCGCCTCGACGCCCAGCGCGCCTCCGGCGGCCTTGATGCCGGCCATCGAGTCGAGCTCGCTCCATCGCGGGAGCGCCGGTGCCCGCGGCGCTGTCGGCATCGGCGGACGCGGCGCGTGTGGCAACAGCGGATCCAGCAGCACACGCTCCGGTAGCATCGCCGCCGACGACAGCCAGATCCGCACCAAATCTGCTGGCGCGAGGCTCTCCGGCGACGCTGCAGCCAGTAGCGTGTGGCCTCGTGCTCCCCCGCCGCCCACACTCCCGCCCGACGCGGCTTGGCGCCTCTCGCTCTGCGTTCTCAACACCACCTCGTACGCGTCACGGCTCCCGGACCCGTCCTTTGCCAACAGCGACGACGACGGTATGGGAATGCTTTGCACATCCGAGGTGTAGTAGACGGCAAGCCCTGCTGCCGCCGCCCCCGTCCCCACCACTCGGAACGCCCATCGGAACATCTGTTCGACTTGTCGCCGTCCGCCCTCGCGCCCGCTCGGTGTCTGCGTGAGGTGTCACTCACTCCGCCACCGCCACCGCCACCTGACCACCACCCTCACCACACACACACACACACACACACACACACACACACACACACACACACACACACACACACACACATACATACACATACACACATACATGGACAAGAAGCGCAACCGGCCGCCGCGGCGCCGGGCACCGCGTTCGCCTTCGCCAGCGGACCGCGAGCGGAGCGCGTCGGGAGGGACAGGCGGCGGAGGCACGTCGGGCGGCTCGGGCGCATCGACGACAACAGGCAATGGAGCAAGCGGTGATATTGATGTGACAAGCGGTAGTGGTGCTGATGGATATGGCGATGCTCATGGCGATCGCGAGGTCGGAGATGGCCGGGATGGCGCTGCCGGCGATCGTGGCGATGCTGGCGCTCCGCAGGATCCGCTGGCGGGCGCCGGCGACTATGTGTATCCGCTGCTCTCGGCGCCAGGCGCGTTTGATCCCCTGCCTGATGGGTGTGACCGCAAGGCGAGTGCTGATGGCAAGTACAAGGTGGTGTACGTTGGCGAGACGTACGACTTTGGCGGCGTGGTCATGCGCCATGGCCTCGGCACCTTTACCGACGGCGCCACCGTGTACAAGGGCCACTGGCGCAAGGACGCCATGCACGGGCCCGACGGCCGCATCGAGTATGCATCGGGTGCCGTCTACGTCGGCGGCTTTGTCGATGGCATGTACCAGGGCCACGGTGTCTACACCTGGCCGTCGGGCGCTTACTACAAGGGCGACTTTCACAACAATCGCATGCACGGCATCGGCGTCTACGTCGACGCCACTGGCTTTGCCTGGCACGGTGAGTTTTACAACAACCGTGGGCCTGGCCTCGTCCAGCACTTTCTCGGTCCGCGCCCTTCCCCTCGCTCGATCCCTCTGCCGTCGCCGCCGCCTCCGCCGCCGCCGCAGACGCCGATGCTGCAGACCCTTAGGCCCCATTCTGCTTGACCACTTCCGCCACCTGCTACGCCAACATTCAATTGCTTGGTACCAGCTCCCTACCACGCGCCCCCGGGCTTCGTCATCTCCGACGTCAGCAACCCCCCCCCTCCCCCCTTCACCCTTCACCCTTCCTCTCACCCTCCTCGCCCACACCAACAAACCCACACACCAAGCATCCCTCCCAAGCACCAGCCCAACCATTTCACTCCCTTCACTCTCCCGATCCTCGCCCCGATCCTTGTCCCCGTCCCCCCCCCCCCCACCCCCCAACCGCGGTCACTCACCCGACGGATCATTCTCTCACCTCTCGCCACCCCCTTCACCTGCATGCCACGGCGACTGCCCGCCTGGCTTGTGGTCTTTGTCATAGCGAGTGGCTTACTCATTCCATGCACGTACTCGTCAGAGCCGCTTGTGTCCCCTTCCCCTTCTCAACCACCACCTTCTCCTCCTTCTCCTTCACCGCCTCCACCTCGACCACTGCCCCCGCCTCGGCCTGCTTCGCTCTGGCCGCCGCCACCTCGCCCGCCATCGCCTTCTCCACCGCCACCCCCGCCACCTCCGCCTCCGCTCTCTCCGGATGATCCACCTTCGGTAACACGGGACATTCTCAAGTATGCCGAGTTTATGAACCCGCCACCCCCGCCACCACCGCCGCCATCGCATTCGCAGCCTTTGCATCCGTCGTCGTCATCGTCAACATCTTCGTCAGCCGAACCGTCGCCGCCGTCGCCACCACTGCCGAACATGGCCGATGCAGCAGCTTCACGCGATGACGGTGCCGAAGAGAGCAGCGAGGCTCGTGATGGCGGGCCGATGTCGGCGGATGGTGGAAACAAGCAGCTGCCGTCGCCGCCGCTGCCGCCGAGCGGAGCTCCGGCGGATCTGGGGACCAACTATGCGGCTGCCGAGTGCGGGGCGCGGGTGCTGTCTGCAGCCGAGCACGTGACCAACTCTGGCAACTTGCTCACTCCGCACCGCGACTCGTACCTGCTCGCCCCGTGCGAGCTCGGGTCGTGGGTGGTCGTCCAGGCGTGCGATGAGATCAACGTCCGCACCCTCGAACTAGGCTCGCTGGAGATGTTCTCATCGTTGCCGCGTGCGTTTGAGCTCTACGCCTCGGACAGCTACCCCGAGCCGAGCTGGGTTCTCATTGCCCGGTTCGAGGCAGCGCCCAAGCGGGCCGTGCAGGTCTTCAACCTTCCGCCGTCGGCACCCGAGATGTGGACAAAGTACTACAAGCTGGTCATCACCTCGCACTACGGCTCTGAGTACTACTGTCCCATCTCTATTCTCCGACTCTACGGCACGTCGGTCCTGCAAGACTTTAAGGACGGGCTGGTCAACCACGCCGACGATGACCTGCCTGTGGTGACTGTGGTCTCGCCGCCGGCCCCGCTCCCTCCGGCCGCTGTGCCCGTCGCCCCGGGCCCGCCGCCGATGTCTCCTCTCGCTCCGCTAAGTCTTCCAGTCAACGCGCGCCCGCTGTCCCTCCGCCGCTGGCCGCTGCATCACCCGATGTGTGTGTGCTCGTTGTCGGCGGCAACTTGCGGCTGCTCGCCGTTCTCGCAACTGCAGCTGCCGGCTACAAACCCGGGTCCCGGCTCGCCGCCGCTCCTACCGGACGCCGCGATGGCGTCGCCGCTTCCAGCACCGCCACCGCTTTCCAACAATGCGATACACCGTCCAGCATCGACTCTGTCGCCGCCGTCCCCGGCTCCGGTGCCGTCGACTCCATCGATGCCGCTTCCGCCTCTCGACGGGCCGCCAACACCGCCACCGCCATCACCGCCGCCGGCTCCGGTGCCGCCAGTCGAGACTGACCTGGAGACCGAACCGGCCCCATCCCCGCAAGAGCCGGGCGGGCCGGCCTCGGGCTCGCCGGATGTGCCTGTGAGCGACACTGGGTCGCCGCAGCAGCCGGCCCCGCCTCCACCGCCGCCGCCGCCGCCGATGACGATGCCAGAGCCCGGCGAGTCGACCGGCTCGGTCTTCAAGACGCTCGGCAAGACTGTCCGCGAGCTGCAGCGGCAGCAGACCAAGGCCTCGTTGTACCTGGAGAGCCTCTCGACAACATACACTGTTGCGCTCGACGAGCTGCAGCAGTACCAGCGGACCCAGGACGCACGGATTGCAGCACTGGAGGCTGCGCTCGCCGAAGCGACCGCGGCGCGGCTTGCGCACGCTTCCAAGCTTGCCGAGCTCCAGGCGCGGCTCGACAGTGCCGACGCGCTCCACCCATGGCTCCGGCTCGGCCTCGAGTCGCCGGTCTCAGCCTCGGTTGTCGTCCTAGTTATCGCCGTCTCGACCGCTTCCTGGGTTGTTCTCTGCGCCTCGCGCTCTCTCGGCTCGGACACGACGTCGCCGGTCTCGCCATCGGCCGCCGCTCCACCACTTGCATCTGCACGTGCGCGCGCCCGCGCCCGCGCCGCCCATGGCGCCCACGCCGGCCACGCTCCCGCCACCACCGATGCCGCCGACGGCGTCGTCGCCGTTGTCGGCCACACCCGTTCGGCTTCCGACCCCCGCCCAGGCACCAAGCCAAAGCCAAAGCCAGAGTCAAAGCCAAAGCCAAAGCCAAAGGCCGGGCCTCGATCTGCTTCGGCAACCTACACCATCATCGCTAACAACCACCGGTAGCCGCCCCGCCTCTCTCTCTCTCTCTCTCTCTCTCTCTCTCTGCCCCACTTTCGCACATGTACGCAAATCAAGTCACAACGCCTGCCAAACAACCTCCCCAACCACCACCACCACCCGTCCCCCCCCCCTTCCACACCCATCTCTACTCTTCCCACCCACACCAAAAGCCCTCACACACCCACCTTTTACACACACACACATACACGCTCACCATGTCCGAGTCCAAAATGGTGCGGCTAACGTACGCCCCCCCCCCCCCTTCCTTTCCCCCCTCCCCCCCCTCTGTCCCCTCCCCCCCAGCCGAACACGACCCTTTTTTAGCCAGCCACTCACCGCACGGCACATCATGGAGTACACACAGCATTCGATTGGTGAAGCCTGACGGAGCAATTCAGAAAAAGGTGGCGTTTCAAGTGGATGCGACTGTGGCCAACATGTGCTCTGTTCTGACTTCCAAGTTTCATCTGGTGGAAGAGGGCTTTGGCCTCTTCTTCCCGCCCTCGCAGTATCGAACGTCAAAGTGGCTGATGGCCAACAAGACGGCCGAGTTTTACGACTTGAAGAACGATGAGCTGCTGGAGTTTCGTCTTCGCCATCGCCCGCTCCGCGTGAGGCTGCCGGATGGAGTGTACAAGACTGTGGTCATTGATGAGAACATGGTGGTGGCTGAGATGTGCAAGGCCATCGGCGCCAAGGTCGGCATCGACAACGTTGCCGAGTTTTCGCTCAAGATCGAGGGCTCGTCGGCCGTCGAGTGGCTCTTGCGAAACAAGACCCTCATCGACCAGGGCGTGGACGAGTCTGTGGCGCTCGAGTTTAAGCAGCGGCTGTTCTTTACCGACACCGAGGTGAACCTGAACAACCCGCGCGAGCTGCACCTGCTGTTTGAGCAGTGCCGCGAGTCGGTCCTGACCGGCAACGCGGTGTGCTCGTTCGAGGAGGCTGTCGAGCTTGCAGCCTACCAGCTCCACCTCACGTTTGGTGACTACGATGCAGCATCGCCGCCGTCGTTTGACATTGGCGAGTACATGCCGCCCGAGTACACCAAGCTGAAGAAGGCGAGCCGGCTGATTCTGGAGGCATACGCTGCGTGCGTGGGGACAAACATGGAGCAGGCCAAGTACCAGTACGTCTCGGTCTGTCGCGGGCTCAAGACGTACGGCGTCACCTTTTCACCGCTACCGAGGCCGTGACGTCCAAGAAGACCCGTCCGATTCTCATTGGCATCACCAAGGAGCGCATCATGAAGTTTGACGGCAAGACCAAGGCTGTTCTCGCCGAGTGGCCGCTGACCTACATCAAGCGGTGTGCGTCGACCCGGTCGACCTTTACCGTCGACTTTGGCATGCACGAAGAGGCGTACCACACGTATCAGACCTCAGAGGGCGAGTCGATCCAGGCCGTCATCGAAGGCTACCAGCACCTGGCCAAGTCACGGGAGGAGCAAGCCGCCGAGGACGAAAAGCTGCGCCAGGCCCGTGGCCCGTCGCTGGAGGAGCAGGAGGCCGAGGCGTCTGCCGCCACCAAGGCCAAAGACGAAAAGCGGCGGTCGCGCGTGCCGGGCGCCGACAGCTCGGACTCGAGCGCCGCCGGTCCGTCGGGTGGCGGCGGCGATGGCATCCAGCGCGGCGCCGCCGGCGAGATCGTCGTCGACGCCTCTGAAGTCTCTGTCAAGCTCAACCAGATTGGACTCGCGGACCTCAATGTGGAGCTGGTGTACGTGACCAAACTCATTACCAACGCGCTGGAGGACGTGGCCGCGCCTGCGGCGGCGGCGCCGGTGGCGGACGAGTCGTGGCGGCGCGAGGCGATGACCACCGTCCGCGGCACCATTTCGGAGCACACCGTCCGCCTCTGCATTGCGGTAGCCAAAGTCATTGCGGCTGTTGTGGTGCTCAAGGCCGACGACTTTGAGGCTGGCCTTCTGTACTCGGCAGTCAAGCTCATGGGCGAGGCTGTGACCCAGCTCGTCACCGCCTGCCGCGCCATCGGCGCCCTCGCCGAGGGCATGGTCGGCGTCATGGTCGTTGACATGTGCCGCATGGTGATCACGGCGTCGCTTCGGGTGGTGACAGCGGCGACACGCGCGGCCGTGGCTCTGGCCGACTCGCGGGTTGACGCCGCCATGCGCGACGAGCTCCTCTCCGCCGCCCAGACGACCGGCAACGCAGCGTGGGAGCTGCTCCGCCGCGCCAACGCCAACGACGTGCAGGACGGCCACTTTAAGGTGATGGAAAAGGCCCTGGCGGCAGCGGCGCGGGCAGTGACCATTGTCGTGGCCTGCGCCAAGATGTCGTCAGAGGCCCTGCCGCAGTCGACTGCCAAGGACGCTGTCGTCGACGCCGCCATGGACGTCTACACTTGCGTCACCCACATGACTGCAACCGCGCGGGTCACTCTCCCGTCCATCCTCAACGAGGTCTCGCTTTCCGAGCTCGAGGCGTGCACCGCCGACGTGCTCGATGCCATTGCCGTCGTCATTGCCACCATCCAGAGCTCGGGCCTGACTGGCGACCACATCGCCAACGCAACGGCAGCCCAAACCGCGGCCCAGGAGGCTCTGGAGGCCCTGCTGGCCGCAGCGCGCGACCCGGGCGACCGCGCCTCGTTCGAGGATCTTCTCCGCAACGCCTACGAGCATGTCTCCGCCGCCATCTCGTCGCTCATCAAGCACGGCTCGGACCCGACCGCCATGCTGCAGTACGTCAAGGCGGCTGGATCAACCGCCACAGACCTGGTCAACTCGCTCAACCGCGCCGCAGAGCTCTCGTCGGACCCGGAGCTCCGCAACAGGCTCCTCGCCGCCGCCAACCAGGTCTCGCAGTTTGCGCAAGCACTCGTTCTCGCTGCCAAAAACTCGCTCGCTAACCCCGGCGACGCCGACGCAGCCTTCAAGGTCTCGCAGATTGGCATGAAGCTCGACGCGCTCGTCCAGCAGCTCCTCCTCGACTTTTCCGTCGCCCTTGCTGACCCCAACCTCGGCGATGAGTTTGACGACTTTTCCGCCCTCGTCAACGCCTCCAAGAACCTCGGAACTAAGGTCCGCAAGTTCTCGGCCGCCGCTACCGGCGCCGACGGCGCTGACGGTGGCGCGCCCAAAAGGTCAGGCGGCGGCCTGCTGGCCGCTGCCGCCGCTGCCCGCGCTCTCGGCCCCGGCCAATGATCACGCTGCAGCCTCTCAAACTCCTCTCCCTCCTTCCCACCCACACGCACGCGCACGAACCTTTACACAAACTGAAGAATAGCAAGCGAGGCCGCCACAACCAGAATCGGCGTGTGGATCCACCAAAAGGCAGGCACCATCCACTTGGCCTGTGGAGGCTTGTGCTGGTAGTAGCCGTACAACATGCCGATGGGGAGGAGGAACATGTACGGCGCGCCAAAGAAGGCGCCGGCAAAGCGCAGAACGGTGCCGATGTACGGGAAAAAGGTGGCGATGAGGACGGTCTGCAGCGCCATGTACACGTTGAGTAGCGCGATGTACGACATGGGCGTGAACGCCGGGTCGCGGGGATCGGCCACCTTGTTGTTGGAGCCGGTAGCCGCCTTCTTCTTGGACTTGGCCTTGCCTTTGGCTTTGGCCTTGGCCTTGGCCTTGCCACTACCGCTGCCGTTGGCCTCGACGCCGACGGCGTTGAGCGAGCCGCGCTCGGGATCAGGCAGCAGCGGCGCAGACTCGTTGATGAGCTCGGGCCCGCCCGAGGCGCCAGTCATGTCGGCCGCGCCCGCCGCCGAGAGCAGAGCCTCGGTCTCCTCGGGGGCGAGAGGACAATGGTGAAGATCTGCAGGCGGACAATGTAGGCGAGGAGCGGGAAAATGCCGCAGAGCTGGATGAGGAGGGCAAGGCGGGCGAGGAAGGGCGTGACATCGTGGTACGAGTAGACATTGAGAAAGTTCTGCGGGATGGCGGTCGACTCAAAGGCGAGGTAGCCGGCGATGCCGCACGAGGCGTAGGTGAGAAAGACAAAGCCAAAGGCAAAGGCAAGGTCGCGGCGGTTGTGCTTGGGCGACTTCTTGTTGCGGATGATGGGAATAATGGCGTTGTGGATGAAGAACGAGACCATGCCGAGGCCGCCGAGGTAGTACCACTTGTCGGAAAAGTAGGTGATGACCGGCGGGTGGGTTGAGAGGTCGGTCACACTCTTGGTCACAATGAAGCCGATCATGTAGAGGATCGAGACAATGCCAAATGAGTTGAACTTGACGAGCGGGCCGATGTCGCGGAGGTTCATGAATGGGAAGAGGACAACGCCCATCATTAGCGGCACCGTCTTGAGCGAGAACCACCGCGAGGCCTCGCCCGAGTGCAGGTCGGCCAGTCCAGACTCGCCCGAGTGCCACAGCACAATCGACGAGACAACTGCGTGTGTAAAGTCCGAGATCATGGTGAGGTACACAACGAGGACGCACAGTAGCATGAGCACCGACGACCACGACGCAAAGTAGTACGCCAGCCGCCCGATGCGCGGCGAGCCAAAGTACCGCATGACCATGTCGGGAAAGTCGTCAAAGCCGTCAGAGTGGTCCACAATGATGGCTGCCGTGTAAAAGCAGAGCAAGCCGACCGCCATGAGCACCAGCGTCCCGCCCACAAGCCCGGCGTTCTGGAACGCCCACGGCATGACAAGGAGGCCTGAGCCCACCATGACGTTCCAGATCGAAAAAATCGTCGAGAACGACCCTTGCTCGCCCGACGGAACAAAGAGTGCGTACGGCGACGCGCCGCCCACACAATGTGCTGCGGCGCACGAAAGTGGTGCGATGACTCGGCCGACGGCGTCAGCCGGTTGTAGTACTTCATCCGCGAGTAGAGCGGATGCGACCGCTCTAGTGTCACTGCCGTCCGCTTGCCTGACGCCTGCCCGCCCTCGCCCGGGCTCACGCGACCGCCTTCATCCGCGGCTCCGACGCTGCCGCCGCGTCGAGTCCTCCGCCCGCCGCGCGGGTGCCGCGTCGAGCTCGCCCCACGGCCAGCATCGCCGCCGGTCGATGGCACCGAGGTCGAGAGCGAGGTCGGCGAGGACGAACGCGAGCCCGACCGCGAGCCGGGCATCGACCTCGAGCCGCCCGACGGCGAGAGCGCCGGCATCTGCAGCGAGCCAGCCGGAGTTGCCGGGCCCGGCACAATGAGCACGTCCGGACTCCTAACTGGCTGCGCCAGCGGATTAAAGGCACCACCGCCCGCACTGAGGCCAGCTCCGGCTCTACCCTTGCGGACATAGAGCGGAGAGGAGCCTGTGCTTGTGGGTGTCCTTCGAGATGTGGGTGAGCCCGGGGTGGTGGTCATCGCAGACCAGTCGTTGTTGCGAGCTGCAGCGTGTCCAGGGCTGGGACCTCCACTAGGTACAGAGCCAGCCGCTTTCCATCTGCCATCGCCTTGTGCCTCTCTTGCTGTTGACCTTGAGCCCGAGGTGCGGCTACCACCAGCTTCTGTTCCGCTTCCTCTCCTTGGTCCGTCACCAGGTGATGGTGGGAACGACGACATGGAAGGCGGCCGGTGTTGGGTGTTGGTGGTAGTCGTGCTTGGTGGTGGTGGTGGTGGTGCTTGGTTCTGGCACGAGTTGGAAGGGGATATGTGGAAGTGGGATGTGGCGGTGACAAGAGTGTGAGGAAAGAGGTGGACGTGGGAGGTGGGCGAGGTGGGGGAGGGGGGGGGGGGGGGAGGGTGGGCTCGTGGCTTGACGTGGAGGCGGTGATGGGGGGGATCGCTCGTGGCAACATTTTTGCATGTGATTGTTGGGTGCGGCCAGCCGGCTTGCCGGGTGGGTGGCGGGAGGCGGTGGTTGGTGGTTTGGTTAGCTTTACGCCTGGGCAGCGGGGGGGATGCCACGGTTGGGCTTGTAGTCGGTGGTGCGCGGCTCCATGGTGATGCAGTCGACCACGGGGCAGATGCCGAGGCAGATGGCGCAGCCAGTGCACCGGTCCTCGAGGACGCGCGGGAGGTGGGTGTCGAGGTTAAAGGCGATGGCCTGGTAGCCCGAAGAGGAGCAGCCGTTGACGCAGCGGCCGCAGTTGATGCAGAGCTCCTCGTCGATGACGGCGACAACCTGCTGGGAGTTGTCGAGGTCACCGTAGGTGCCGACGTTGGGCAGGGCCTTGCCGAGCTCCTCGGCGATGGACGACGGGCCGCGGACGACGTCGGCCTCGTTGGGGACGAGGAACGGCGACGGCTCGGCGAGGTTGACCGACTTGGCCCACTCAGAGCGAATGCGCTGGCGCTCCTTCTCGTAGGGGCCAAAGCGCGGGAGGCCCTTGCCGTGCTCGCGCATGACGGCGTTGACGCGCGGGACGCGGTCGGTGATGGCCGGCGGCGCCTGGCCGTCCCATCCGGCAAAGTCGCCACGTGACGCCATGTACAGCTGCGTCTTGAGGCCCATGATGTAGTCCTGCACAATGGTAAAGTCCTCGTTGTGGACGGCCGAGCAGATCTGGACGACCGACGCGCCACAGTGGATGTACTGCATCGCCGTCTCTGCAGACTCGACACCGCCAGTGGCCATGATGGGGAAGCCCGGAAGCGCGTTGCCGATGGCCGACACGGCCTTGAGCCCGATGGGCCGCGTCGCCGAGCCAGACACGCCTCCGTACGTCGTCTTCTTTTCCTTGCCCACCGCAGGCCACGCCTCGGCGTTGGTCTTGAGGCCCATCAGGCCCGAGACCGTGTTGATGGCTGTCACGCCCGTAGCTCCACCGCGCTTGGCGGCCTCGGCAATGACGCGGATGTCGGTCACGTTCGGCGTGAGCTTGGCAAAGAACGGCACGTCGCCGCACACCTCCTTGACCCACTGGCAAATGCCGAGCACGAGCTCGGGGTTCTGGCCGCAGGCGAGGCCCATGCCGCGCTCGCCCATCCCATGCGGGCAAGAGAGATTGAGCTCGAGAGCGTCTGCGCCCGACTCGAGCGCCTGCTGGGCAAGGGTCTTCCAGTCCGACTCGTCAAAGGCAGCCATGATCGAGGCGACAATGATGCGGTCAGGGTAGTCGGCCTTGACGTCCTTGACAAACTTGCACCAGTACGCCGCAGTCTTCTCCGAGATGAGCTCGATGTTGAGGAAGGCGCCCTGGCTGGGACCAAACAGGTGGCCCGACGTCGTGCCGCGGACAATGCGCGGCGAGACGTTGGTGACAAGGTCCTTGTCGAGGCCAAAGGTCTTGGTGACGGCAAAGCCCCAGCCAGCGTTAAAGGCGGCGCGGATCATATCGCCCGAGGTGGCCGGCGTGGCCGAGGCGAGGCCGAACGGGTTGACAAAGTGGAGGCCGGCCATGTCAACCGAGATGTCGACGGCATCGATCTCCGAGTAGTACAGCGGGAGCTGCGGCGTCGACGGGACCGGCAGGCCGTGCAGGCCCTGCAGGTAGGTGTGCATGGACCACGAGGCAACCTTGCCGTCGTTGACAGCCTCAACAGTCGTGCCCGAGCCGGCGCAGTCGCCACCGGTAAAGAGCCACTCGGCGCCAGTCGCCACCATCGTCTGCGGGTCGTGCTCGATGCCGCCCCACGAGTTAAACGTGGCCGGCGCGAGCGCAGCGCGGAGCGCCTCGTCCTTGAGCGACGAGCCAAAGGCGGTAATGATAAAGTCCGCCTTGACCCGCGACCACTGCTCCTCGTCGACGTAGTACTTGCCCTCGTCGTCCATGTCGGTCCGGAAGAGCTCGATGGCCTTGACCTTGCCAGACGCCTCGTCGACAATAACCGCCTTGGGCGACGAGAACGGGAGGAACTCGCAGCGCTCGTCGCGCGCAAGGTCCACCTCCTCGGGCACCGCGCGCATGTCGTTCATGCCCTTGCGGAAGACAACCGTGACACGCCGCGCGCCGCACCGGAAGGCCGACGTCGCGCAGTCAAACGCCGTGTCGCCGGCGCCAAGCACCACCACGTGCCCGTGGAGCTTGGGCAGGTCCGGCCGCGCCTCGCCGACGCACGCCGTCGCCTTGGACGCCGTCATCACCAGCGGGAGGAACTGCTTCGACGTGTACACGCCCTGCTCGGGCGTGAAATCCGCAAAGGCAGGCGCAACCTTGGCGTCCGGCGCGCCCACGCCGAGGAACACAGCCTCGGCCCCGGTCTCGGCCTTGATCTGTGCCAGCGTCCGCTCGGCAGAAACCGGCGAGTTGAACTCAAACACCACGCCAAGGTCCTTCGCCTGCTGCACCTCCCACTCGACAACCTCAAATGGCAGACGGTACGACGGGATCTCCGTCGTCGACAGGCCGCCCACAAACGCGTTCTTCTCGTACACCGTCAGGTTCGAGTACCCCAGCCGCGCCAGGAACGTCGCCGCCGAAATCGACGCAGGGCCCGCGCCGATAAACGCCACAGGCGTCGAGAACGACTCGGGGAGCTCGTCGAGCGAAGGCGCCGCCGGGTTGCGGATCTGCTTCACGCCCATCTTCATGAACACCTGCGTGGCAAACTGCTGGAGGCCACCAATGTTGATCGCTCCCTCCTCGGCAGCGTGCAGGTTGCACCCGCCCACACACAGCTCAGACGTCGGGCACACCATGCCGCACGTCAGACCCAGCGGGTTGTCCGACAGAATGTACCGCGCCGCGCCGTAGTAGTTGCGGTTCGCAATGCACGAGATGAACGCTTTGACGTCGAGCTGCGTCGGGCACGACTTTTGGCACGGCGCGTCCGCGCACTTGAGGCACCGCCGTGCCTCAAACAGCGCACCACGCTCCGTCAGCGTTGTCGGCTTGATGTCCTCAAAGTCATGCGCGAGCGCCGTTCCAGGCGTGTGGATGTTGCGCTTAAAGTGCTCCTGCTGCTTGTGCACCTGCGTCGTCGGCACGCACTTGGCGTACTCGTCGACCGTCGACGAGAAGGCGAGGATGGCCTGTGTACGGGGAGGGGTAAGGTGAGTGTGGGAGGGGAAAAAAAAAAGGTCGTGTTAAAGGTGGGGAGGGAGGGGGGATAGTTGATGAGCTAGGGAGGGATGGAGGGAGGGGGTTAGAAGGGAAAGGAGGAGGAGGAGGAGGCTGTGGTGGAGGTGGAAGTGGAGGTGGTGGAGGTGGTGGTGTGGAGGGAGAGGGGAGGGGGGGGGGGGGGGGGGAGGGGGGGGGGACAGGCGAGGGGGGGACAGGCGAGGGCGAACCCCAAGCCAACAGACATAGCAAGGGTGTTCACATCGATCCTCCCCCACCCCCCCTTCCTCCAAAGGGAGAAAAAAAAAGCGAGGCCATTGATTAAATAACGTTGGGATTATCGTTGCGAGAGCGATGAACGATGGAAAAACGAAAACAAAGGCTTGGCCGTCTCAACCTCCCCACGTGGCGGACAGACGACCAAAGACAGAGGCGAGTTTGGACGAATAAAGGGGAGGAGGAGACCACAGACAGGCGCTGAGGTCGGAGTGTGCCTGAGCAAGGACCGAGGCTTCGGGCGAGGACAAAGGCCACTGCCGCCGCGCTTATGTCCGCTCGCACTGTTCCAAGCTGGTCGAGAGTCGGCCAGAGAGCATGGCAAAGGCAAAAAATGTTCGCGCCACACCGGCAGGCGCAACCACCCTGCTGTCGCCCGCCACGCCGCAGGCAGGCAAAGACGCTAGCTACAACAACACGTTGCAAGGGCTTGTGGTGCGTACCTCGATGTCGACGATTTCATTCGTGGTCGGAGAGGACGAAGACGACATGATTGAGATGAGAGAAAAGTATGAGCCGCGCCTCCGAGTCGAGTCGGCCAAGAGCCACTCAGCCAGAGAGGCCAAACGTCGAACCGTTGGAATGGCAACCAACAGGCGCGCCGGGTGACGGTCCGAGGCCTCTGCCCAGCTCCCAGGAACCACTGCGTCGAGGATCACAGCTGCCCCCAGACAAAGAAGGCGCATCGCCATACGCCGCCGGTTTACTCATCACATCTGCTCCACTGTGGCCAGCCGGCCAACGGCAAGCGGGTCGGGCTTGGCATCGAGAGGAGGAAAAGAAAAATCAAGAGCACGGCAGAGCACAATCAAGTCACCTCTTCCCCTCCACCACACACGCAGATGCAAGCACCAAGGAGGGGACGCATGGTTTTACGCCGTCGCCAACGATACGATTACTTCTTCTTCTTCTTCTTCTCCTTCTCCTTCTTCTTCTTCTTGTCCTTACCCTTGGACGAGTCCGAGGCCGCGGCGCCGCCCTTGTTCGCCGAGAGCTGACGGCGGAGGTGTGCAGGGAGCTTGAGGAAGCAGCGGCGGCACATGGGCTGCGAGTCCTTGAACGAGCAGAAGGTTGCGCCGGCGAGGGCCTTGTCGCAACCAACGCAGGTGAAATGATCCGGGTGCCACTGCTTGCCGAGCGCGGTGACGCCACGGCCGGTGATGGAGCGGCCGCACTTTGCGCAAACGGTGCCGAAGAGCTGGTGGTAGTGCACGTCACAGTACGGTCGGCCCTCGCGCTCAAAGAACGAACCGCCGGCAAACGGCTTTTCGCAGTGAGCGCAGACAAAGTGCTCCGGGTGCCACTGCTTGCCGAGCGCGGTGACGCAGCGGCCGGCAATCGGCCGCCGGCACTTTGCGCAGCACGACGCGAGTAGCGCGTTGTAGTCCGACTCGCAGTAGAGACGGCCGTCGTACTCAAAGCACTTGGCTGACTGGAACGGCTTTTGGCACTGTGCACACGAAAAGTGCTGCGGGTGGACCTTGTGGCCCTGGATGACCAGAAACTCGCCGGTGATCGCCTGTCCGCACTTGCCGCACTGCACCGACATGCCCTGGCCCTGCATGCCAGGCTGTGGCATGCCCTGCTGCGGCATCCCGCCCTGCTGCGGCATCCCGCCCTGCTGCGGCATCCCGCCCTGCTGCGGCGCCTGTCCCTGCATGCCAACATTCCGCCGCCGCCCTGCATCGAGTGCATCGCCGGCTGCATCCCGCCCTGCATGCCCATTCCGCCCTGCATGCCCATTCGCCCTGCATGCCCTGGCCCTGCATGCCCTGGCCCTGCATGCCCTGGCCCTGCATGCCCTGGCCCTGCCCGTACCCGCCCATCGAGGCCATCGGGTTCGACGGTGGCGGCGCTGCGCCCGTCGCCACCGCCTGGCACGACTTGCAGCACGGCGCGCCCTGGAACTCCACATACGCCCCAGACGCCAGCGGCGCGTTGCACCGCGAGCACATAAAGTGCTCTGGGTGCCACTTCTTCTCCAGCGCGTTGATGCACTGCCCGGTGATCGGGTTGCGGCACGACGCGCACCGCGGACCAAACAGGTCCGTGTAGTCAAACTGGCAGTACGGCTTGCCGTCAAACTCAAAGAACTGTCCGTTCTGGAACGGCTTGAAGCACTGCGCACACACAAAGTGCTCCGGATGCCATTTGCGGTTGAGCGCAGTCACGCTCTTGCCCATCACAGGCTCGCGGCACTGCGCGCACGGCGTCGTGTCTGCCGCGGGAGCGTCCGCAAGAATCTCGTTGAACAGATCGTCCACCTCTTGCGACGCACCCGGCTCGCCGCCGGCCCCCGCTCCGGCCCCGCCCACCGGGGTGCCCGGCGATGCCGCCGCATACGGGTTGACCCCTGGCATGGCGGTACCTGCCCCAACAGAGACCAGGCCGGGTGGGATGCCACCCATCCCGCCCATCCCGCCCATGCCCGGAGAGCCTGCTCCCGCCGCACCTGCCTGGAACTGTCCATTCAGCAGCTGCTGCGTCGAGAGATTCGCCAGCGCATCTGCGTTGGGTGCCGGCAGTCCGTCGACGCCACCGAGGTCAAGGTCGGCAAGGATATCCTGAAGCTCATCACCACCACCGCTACAACACAAGACAACAGAGAGAGTGAGTGTGAGAGAGAGAGAGAGAGAGTCATTGCGCTAGCCCGAGTCCAAGCCCGAGTCCCAGCCCGAGCTGTACCAGCTGTGCGCCGCGATTTCCATTGCCACCATCATCTCTACCTTGACTCCACCTTCCATTCCCGCCCCAGTCCCGGTCTTGGGCCCTGTCCCCAGTATTGGGCCCTGTCCCCGGTCTTGGCTCCCGTCATCGGTCTGGGGTGTCCCCCGTCCCCGTCCCCCTTCTGCCGCAACCGACAGCAACGATTCTCCCGACGACGACTCTGGCATGCATAACCACCATTCTACCACGCCATATATGGCACACAGTCGGTCATATACATGCACTTGTGTGGGAATGGGGAGGGTGGGGGAGGACGGGAGGGGGTACGGGCGGGGGGGGGGGGGGGGGGGGGACAGGAGACTGGGGACGGGGGGAGCCAAGGGGACTGGGGCAAAAAAAGCATTGATAACCAATATGAAAGAATCAAGGGTTTTGGGTGGTCACGCACATTGTCAAAGTGACCGACGGCAGGGGGGGGGGGATAGGTGAAGAGGAGGGAAGAGGGAAGGGATTGGGGTTGACGTACTCCATCTTGGGTGTGTGACTGTGCGCAGAGTGCGGTGTGGGAAGAGAGAAAACGAGGTGGGCGTGGTAGGGCTGGGCGTGGGGGTGGTGACCGAGGGAGGGGGGGACAGTGGTCGCTGTTCGCTCGAATGGCTTCAACGAACGAACGCCGACAGGCGACGACCATGCCGTTGGCGAGGACAATGCGGCAAGTGAGGAGGGTGAGGGTGTGTGTATGAGCGGGATCATATTGGATCAAGAAGGGTGGGGGGGAGGGGTGAGGGGGGTGGCTTTATACGTATCGGGATCCGTATTGATCATCATGCAGTGGGCCGCCAAGATGAACAGAGCGGAGAAGGGGGGTGGCGTCATCATGGCCATCACAGGCACTACGGCCATCATGGCCATAGCGGCCATCATGGCCAGGGCAGACATATTGGCACTCGCTAACAGTGCCAACCCTAGTCAGCAACACCATCACCGCCATAGCCATCGCCATCGCCATCGCCATCGCCATCGCCATCGCCATCGCCATCGCCATCGTCATGACTGTGGCAGATGGCGGCAGACGACTGTCGGCGTGGTAAGAGGTGAGGGAGACACACACACAAACATACATGCATACACACATACACACACTCCACGCAAGAAGAAGAGACTCAGTTGGGCTTGGACCGCAGGTGGAGGACGATGAGCAGTCAGCGACACCAGGTCGAGGTGGTTGCGGTGGAGCAGAGCAGACCAAAGTCGCGGCTCGGAAGACAGCCGCCGGTCATCTACACCATTCGCCTCACCGATCTTCGCACGCCGCCGGCTACCTTGCCTCGATGGACCGTCAAGAGATCTGCTAGCTCAATTGCTAGTGTGCTAGAGGCTCTTGGTGCAAAACTAGGGCTTTTGCCATCACCAGGCTCGATCACGCCACCGAGGAGAGCCAAGCCGCCGCCTGCCGCGCTGTCCAAGACGCGCTGGCGGAGGTTGTGGCGGATGACATCGCCGCAGACTCGATCGCTGTCCGGCGTCTGCTGGACATCGACCCGGTCTCGCACATGAGCCAGCGGGCAGTGGCGGTGACCGCCTCGTTTCTCGCCCGTGATCACACCGTGTACCAGATCAAGGTCCAGATCGGGACCGCCTCGTGGCGGCTACTCCGCCGGTTTGCCCAGTTCCGCGCCCTCGCTCGCGATCTTGTCGCCGAGCTCGGAGACAGCGCGCCGTGGGCGTGTCTCATGCCCAAGGCCTCGTACTTTGGAAGGAAGAAGCCGTCGGTTGTTGCCCACCGCAAGAACGCACTCAACGCCTTTCTCCAGGCCGCTGTCGCTGACGACGCCGCCTGGGCGTCGCCGTTCTTGCAGATATTCCTCCGAGTCAAGGCCAACTACCGCCCGCTTCAGCCGCGGACAACAGCGTTCTCGCGTAAGGTCACTTCGCTGCCGCCGGGTGCCATGTACGCCTCGCTGCCGTCGAGCCTCTCGGGCGCCAGCGCCGGCGCTGGCGCCAGTGCCAGCCTGGGCTCAAGGCCGTCGAGCTCGCCGCTCCGCGTCCCGCGGGCAGCCACATCGCAGGCCGCCCGCGCCACAGCCTCGTCCGTTGGCACCGATGCCTGGATCCAGCTCTTTGCCTCTGGAGCGGTACCTGCAGACGTCATGGCAGTAGCAAGCTCGGGCGACGCGTCGCCGGGCGCGCCGTCGTCGTACACGCAGCGCGTCGACGAGTGGTCATCCCTCCCAGTCGCACCTACCATGCGTCAGCTGCACACCACCACGCCGGTCGAGGACGACGGGACTGCGCCCGACGACTCAGTCTGTGACGGAACGTTTTATACAGACGCCGGCGGCGTCTCTTCTGACGATGACGAGTTCTTCTCGGCGTCGGGCGACGGCGGCTGAGTGCATGCTACGCACGCGACGCTGCAAGCGCCTCGTACAGCTCGCCCATGTCGTGGCGAAGCTCGATGGAGCGGCAGAACCGGACGTCGAGCGAGGTCAGCGCCGCCAGCCGCGGGCCGAGCGTCTCCAGCACATCGCTGTCCGAGAGATGCAGCAGGCCGGCGAGCGAGAGCGTGGTAATGCCGGGCGCGCCATCAGCAAGCGCCGCCAGGCCGGTCACCGTCACATCCAGGCACCCGGCGAGGACCACCGACTGCAGCTGCGTGCACTGCGCCAGCGCGCTCAACCCGGCGTCGGTGATCTTGCGGCAGTCGAAAAGGTCGATGGCAGTCAGGCTCCCGCTCGCAGCGGAAACCAGCGCCTCGAGGGCTGCGTCTGTCACTCCAGGCACCCGCGCCAGGCTCAGCGACTTGAGCGAGCTCGCGCTCGCCAGCAGAGACTCCAGCTCTCCGCCGCCGATTCGCAGCGCGCCCGAGAGATCCAACTGCTCCAGCTGCGGAACGAGGCGAGCCAGGACCGGCAGTGCGTCCGATCGCAGCTCTTGGGCAGCCGGAAGCAGCAGACCGCGGCACGCTGATCCGTTTGTAGCCAAGGCAACGAGGCCATCGACGACTTTGCTCGATGCAAGCCAATGCCGCACATGATAGCCATCGATAACACCCGGACTCGGAAGAGCAGCATATGTCCCCAGCACTTGCACCACTTGTTCTACGCTTGCAGTTTGGGGCAACTCCTCCAGCGGAATGGTGAGAAGCACCTGAGCCCATTCCACCTTGTCTGTCATCGTGCCCGCTTCGCCTGTCGTCTCGGTCGGGCTGCTGCTGCTGCCTGTCGTCGTCGTCGTCCCCTCGCCAGCCTTGCCTTGCCCAGCCTCGTTGCTTCCGCCTGCCCCCGCCATGAGACTATACCCGATAACGACTTGGTTATCGCCACATGCGCCCTGCACAAGCTCGTCCACGGTTGTCGCCATGCCTGTCGTTGTCTGCGCGTCGTCAAGTGTGCCGCCGACCGCCATTTCGCCAAGGCCATTGATCACCCCCGCGTGGGCGCAGCGATGGCTGGAAAGGGGATAGTGAGGCAAGGAACGAAATCGGGTGGTGGAGATGGAGCGTTAGAAGAGGGGGTGATAGTGTAAGCTCGGGAAGGTGGCGGGGATCTGCAGTGATGGGCGTGGAAGCTCGGGAGGCATCGACAACCCTTGGCTGATTAAAACTGTGCCGATCAAAGATCGGAAGTTGAACTGAAGGCATGTTACTCCCACGGGTAAGGGAGCTCACCAGGTTGCGATCTCCACCTTGGACAAGCACCATCAGGGATGGAAGATAGCAAGAATGCGACCGTGTGGTTGATTGCAATGACTACCCTGTGCGAGCAGCAATTGTGGGCGATGGGACGTGCTTGTGTCTCGGACGGCGACAGGCGATGGGGTGGGGGGGGGGGAGGTGACAAGGCGAGGTTCGGCCGCAGACGACTGACACGACACTCTCCAGCAGGCGGGAGAGCACCGCGAGAGATAGATAGAGAGAGAGAGAGAGAGAGAGATAGAGTCAGAGGGAGGGAGAAGAACAGGAAGATGTCTGCCTGTGAGTCCACCATTGTCAACTCTACCGAGGAGCTGCTTGCGGGTAGGTGCAAGTGTGTATGAGCGAGGGTGTGTCCGTGTGCTGTGCAGGGTGGCTCGGGTGGGTATGGACTCATCGCGAAGGGGGATATGATTGGCTGGTCGTCGTGGCTCGGTGGCTCGTGGCTCGTGCTTGCGGCCATGCTCGCGGTTGTGGCTGTGGTTGTGGTTGTCGTTGTGTTTGTGGCTGTGGCCGTCTTCCCCGATCCTGGCTCCCCCCCTGGTCATGGTCTCCTCTCGCTCGCTCATCCTCACTCCTGGCTCCTGGCTCTCGGCCCCGGTTGACCCCGGTTGATGACTATGGCCCTGCGGATGGCTGCCAACAGAGGTCGAGGTGGAACAAGCCGAGTCCCGCGAGGACTTTGAACTGCGTGTGCGCAAGATCAAGAAGCGAGTGAACCCGGACGTGTCGTCGCGCAAGTGGGGCGTGAAGCGCCATGCCGATGTGCCGGAAGAGGTGCTCCGCGGGAGTGGCGAGCTGGATCACCTACTCCCACGGTTTGACGCGCGAACAATGACCGAGGCCGAGTGGTTTGCCTTTGAGGCGCTCGACCGGCCGTGCGTAATCGAGAATCTGATGGACGACTGGAAGGCGCCGGCCAAGTGGACGCCGCGACGGTTCATGCGCAAGTACGCCGACAAGACCTTTGACGTCGGCTCGTTTAACTACACAGACATGACATGGGCGCAGTTTGTGCGGTACGCGCTGACCAACGACGACGACTCGCCGCTGTACGTCTTTGATCCGTACTACGGGAGCAAGTATCCCAAGCTGCTGCAGCAGTACACCGTCCCGCGCTTCTTCCGCGACGACTACCACCAGTATGCCGGCGAAAAGGATCGCCCACTCTACCGCTGGTTCCTCGTCGGGCCCAAGCGGTCCGGAACGGGCATCCACCAGGATCCCGGCAACACCTCGGCGTGGAATGCGCTGGTCATGGGCCAGAAGCGGTGGGCCTTCTTCCCGCCAAGCACCAAGGGCTCGGTGGTCAAGCCGCCCAAGGGCGCCGGTGACGAGGGCATCGACTGGTGGCTCGACGTCTACCCACAGCTCCGCCCGCGCGCCGAGGAGCTTGGCATGATCGAGTATACCCAAAAGGCCGGCGAGACGCTGTTTGTCCCGTGGAAGTGGTGGCACGTTGTCCTCAACACCGAGTTCACCGTCTCGGTCACCCAGAACTTTGCCTCGCGCGTCAACATGCCGCACGTCTGGCGCTACACCAAGAAATACCGCCCCAAGTACGGGCGCCGCTGGTACTTTAAGCTCCCGCCCGAGGTCCGCGACGCGCTCGACGTCTCCGACTTTGACTTGACCGGCCCGGTCGAGGGCTCCGACTCGAGCTCGAGCTCAAGCTCGTCGAGCTCCGAGGCGTCATGGGACGGCGACTGAGCGCCGACGGCTGGCGCCGAGGCTTGCAGCGCGGCCATCACAGCCGCGAATGGAGCTTGGACGGCGCCGCCCGGACGACGGTGCCCTCGATGTAACCCGCAGGGTCGTCGACCGGAAAGTACACCTCATTGTTGTTCTCGAGGCCGAACCGCTGGATGTCGTAGAGGAAGACATGGATGTTGGGCATGATAAACGTGATCGTCTCCAGCTCAGGCACCCGCTCCATGACCTCCTCGCCGATGTCGTACACCATCTGCTGGACAGAGAGCGAATAGCGGTTGGCGAAAAGTCGAGCGTGACGTTGCGAATCATTGAGAGCGCCGCGCCGTAGCCCGGCTCCGAGCCACGTGCAAACGTCCAGTTGGCCGTCACCGACGTGCACAGGAGCCGGTCGTGCATCTCCGGCAGCGTCGTGTACTCGCACCGCGGGAAGCCCTCAAAGCCCGATCCCGTCGTCTTGAGCACACGCAGGCCCTTAAAGCCCGACACAACGTCCGCGCCGCCGTCCGCCCGCGTCGTCGCCGATGCCGTGCGATAGCACGGCCCGGCCTCGGCAAACGCCGTCTTGTGCGCACCCTCCTGCCCATCAGGCGCATCAAGCCGCTCCCACAGAGGCTGGCGGATGTCGACCTTGCACTGGGTAACTGTGATGGGGAAGAGAGAGAGTGTGTGTGAGAGAGAGCAAGATCCGGCCCTTGTGAGTGTATGGGAGGCAGGGCACCCGCAGCAGCGCCACCATCATCCCCATCCCCATCCCCATCCCCATCCCCATCCCCATCCCCATCCCCATCATCATCCCCATGACGTACCCTGAGCGTATTTCGACTTGAAATGCTGGGCAACAGACTCTGCAAACGACTCGATGGGAGTGACAGGATGGATCTTGGCCAGAGCATACACGGTGTTCTTCATGGTATCCGTAGGCACCGTCGTCGAGTTATCTCCCGAGAGATACGTCCTCGCAAAGTCGGCGCCCCACAAATACACGTCGACGGAGAGCTCCGTCACCACGTGTCGAGGTCCACTGCGGTCGACGTGGACGACACGAATGCGTGACTTGCCATAGTGATGCTCTCCAAGCGCTGCCATGTTGGGCTTTCCGTCCTGTTTCTCGTTCTCGAACAGAGTAAAGTAAGTAGCTCAGTCCCGTCTCTTGTCCCTTCCCTCCGCCCCCCCCCCCTTCGCTGCCCCACTCCAACTCATATCATCGGTCGCCTGACTCACTCGCCCGACTCAAACCGACTCTTTGGCGCATTTTTTGGCGCATTTTTGGCGCATACCCCCCCCCCCCCACCACCACCACCACCCTTCCCTCTCTCCGAGCCTACCCGTACACCTCCTGCTGCATCCGATTACGCCGTGTTTGTTTTTGATGACCAGATCGTTCCGCATCGTCGTGGGGGAAAAAACAGACCACACCCTGCCCAGCGCCCCCTCTCCTCCCCTCCCCGTCTGACCCGATCTGACCCAGTTGCCAAGTCGTAACGCTGTCTACCATGTGATGGATCCTCGCCCACTCGTCATCGCTCCTTCGACATCGTTCACTCGTCATCGTCCGAGGCAAAGTCGGCGAGCGAGGTGTTGCGGAACATGGCGTCCTTCGGCTGGTACACAGTAGCCGAGCTGCGCGGACGCTCGATGCCGAGCCTCCTCCGCCAGATCTCGGGGCGATCCGGATATGTCTTTTGGAGAAAGGCAACGTAGGCGTTGTGAAGCATGTTGGCCTCGTACAGCGAGATGTAGCGCGTGACCGATGCTCTGGGCGGCGCCTTCTTTCCCCTCCGAAGCACGTCCCAGTCCGAGTCCGGCAGCACCACGCCGACGATCTCCTCCACCGACTGGGAAAGGCGATGACCGACGCATCGCCTGTCCCTCCACCGCCGGCCTCTGCCGCCGCCAGCTTGGCCTTCTCAGACTCGAGCAGCTCACGATACTCCTTGGGCGAGAGGCCATGCATACCCTCTGATCCCAGATCCAAGCCCTTCAGCGCCTCTGCCAGCTCGTCCACCACACGTTCATCCACTTCCTTCCCCGCGCTAACTGCACCTTGCCCCTCCCCATCCACTTTTGTCCGTCCATGCCCTCGAGTCTCACCTGCCACCGCCATCCCTCCACCGCCGCCGCCCTCCAGCCGCAAGGTAACCTCTGAGAGCTTGGCACGGAGCTTCTCACCCCCGTCAGGAAGCTGCGCCATGAGCTCCTCGTCTCTAAGCATGACACGGAGTTGCCGCGCGAGCTTCTCGTCAGGAAGAAGCTGCTGTTGTTCCGACGTCATCACAACTCGCTCGCTCGCTCCCTCTGGCCTCGCCCGAACGAAGCACTCGCGTCAAGTGTGGCTGGCTACAGCTACAGCCGGAGCCCGAGTCGCACTGCGCCACAACTGCTGCATTTTACCTTTTACTCCAACTCGGGTGCCACAGGTCCGCATGCCATGCGAATGCGCTCGGACGAGGCCGGCGAGTGGAGGTCAAAGGCGCCAGATCCGAGGCCGGCGTCGACGCGGGCGGCGCCGACGGCATCCTTGATGGCGAAGAACACACTGGCGGCGAGGAAGAGCGGCGGCTCGCCGACACCCTTGGACGAGTGAATGGCCCGCGAGTTGGGCGCGTCCTTGAGGAGCGACACGTTGAAGATCGAGGGAATGTCCGAGAACGCGGGGATCTTGTAGAACGACGGGCCGCGGGTAAAGACGTGCCCGTTGCCGAGCTTGATGAGCTCCTCGGTGGTGAAGAGGCCCATGCCCTGCACAAACGCGCCCTCGACCTGCCCGAGGTCAATCGCCGGATTGAGCGAGTCGCCCACGTCCATGACGAGGTCGGCGCGCGTCACCACGTGGTCGCCGGTGAGGACGTCGATCTCGACCTCGGCCACCGCCGCGCCGTAGCAAAAGTAGTTGAACGGCATGCCGCTTCCGGCCGTCTCGCCCGTCGGGTCAAACTCGAACCCGATGTCCGGCGTCTTGTAAAAGCCGTTGGCCGAGAGGTTGATCCGCTGCAGGTGCGCCGCGAGCGCCTTTTCCGCCAGCGGCGCGTCCGCCGCCACGCCCTCCACCGTCGCCAGCCGAGCCAAAATCTGCTCGCACGCATCGAGCACCGCCATACCGTTGATGTCCGACGAGACCGACGCCGCCGTCGGCACTGTGTTCGCCACCTTGTCCGTCGCTGTCTCGTCGACGTACACGTCGCTCACCGGAATACCAAACGCAGACGCCGCCACCTGCGCCATCTTGGTGTGCAGGCCCTGGCCCATTTCGATGCCGCCGTGTGAGACAAGGACCGTCCCGTCCTGGTAAACGTGGACAAGCGCGCCGGCCTGGTTGAGGAACTTGGCCGTAAACGACATGCCGAACTTGGTCGGCACCGCCGCCAGCCCGCGCTTCCTCCACCGGTGCGCCGCGTTGAACGCAGCCACCTCGGCCCGCCGCGTCTCGTACTCGGACTTGCTCATCACTTCGCCCCACACCGCCTCCAGCCGGTTGTCGGTAAGCACCTGCCCGTAGTGCGTCGTCGCGTCCGGCTCGTAAAAGTTGGCCGCCCGCACCTCGGCCGGATCCTTGCCCAGCTCGCGCGCCACATTGTCGATCCACGACTCGCAGATGAGCATCGACTGCGGGCCGCCAAACCCGCGGAACGCCGTGTTCGACGGCGTGTTGGTCTTGCACAACCACCCGCGCGCACCCACCGCGGGAATCTTGTAAGCGTTGTCGACGTGGAACAGCGCCCGATCCATGACCGAGCCCGAGAGGTCGAGCGAGAAGCCGGCGTTTGAGTACAGGTCGATGTCCAGCCCGAGGATCTTGCCGTCGTCGTTGTACCCGACCTTGTACACACCCTTGTACGGGTGCCGCGTCCCAGAGTACACCATGTCCTCGTCGCGGTCGAGCATGCACCGCACAGGCTTGCCCGAAAGCTTGGCCGCAAGCGCCACCGCCGCAGACAGCGGGCACGTCCGCGTCTCCTTTCCGCCAAACCCACCGCCGATCCGCTTGACGTGGACCGCCACCTTGGCAGACGGCACGCCAAGGACCCGCGACACAAACTTCTGCGTCTTGGACGGGTTCTGCGTCGACGCGTACACCTTCATCTGCTCACCCTCGACAGGCACCGCCAGCGTGGCAAACGTCTCCAGGTAAAAGTGCTCCTGTCCGCCGACGTACGTTGTGCCCTCGAGCACATGCGATGCGCCCTCCAGCGCGCCCTCAACGTCACCGCTCTTCATCTTGTTGCCGCCCGACATGTACTGCCCGGCCGCCACCGCCTCATCGATGGTCACCACAAGCTCAGGCGCGTCAGGTGCCGCCTCGGTGAGCACCACGTTGACCTTGCGCGCCGCCAGCCGCGCCAAATCCGCACTCGACGCCACGACCATACCCAGCAGCTGGCCCTGCGACGTGATCTCCTTCGACACAATGACCTCCTCGTCGTACACAATGGCTCCGAGAACATTCATCCCAGGCACGTCATCAGCCGTGTAGACTGCAACCGAAGGGTCCAGCGCCAGCGCGGCGCTCGTCTCGATCCGCTCGATTGTTCCCCGTGCCACCGACGAGAGCAGCGGCGCGCCAAAGAGCGAGCCGGCTGCCACCGGAATGTCGTCGACGTACACGGCCTCGCCGGTCGCCTGCAGCAGCGCCGACGCATGCATCTCTGGCATGTGCACCCCGCCCGAGACCGGCGGCGAGAGCACTCCGTCGTACGCAGCCTCAAACGCCGACGAAGCATACTCCTGACGGCCCTGCGAGAGCGGCTTGTGCTCCTGCAGCAGCGCCCCGGTGATCTCGCGCGCCTCCACCGGCGCAAGGCCCGACTCGACCGAGACGTAGAGGAAGAACTTGTAGAGGAACGACTTGGCCAGCTCGCGACGGTATCCGACCTGCCCACCCGGCGCGTTGGGCGCCAGCGGCACGTCCACCGAGTCGAGCTGCGCCATGGCCTTGCGGACGAGCGCGTCGCTCCACTTTTCGCCAGACATCAGCACCTCGGCAGCCGCCACTGCAGACTTGGTCCACGCCGCCATGCCGCCGTACGCCAGGCCGGCGTCGACCACGGCGCCCGTCTCCGGATCGAGCTTGACCCGGAACGACGCGCCAACAATCGCAATGTCGTCCTCACGCCGCCGCGACTGCTTGTACGACCGCACATACTCGTTCTCGCCCGCCAGCGGGACCACAAGCTTGACCATGACCTCGTCGGCCTCCACCGCCGTCTTGCGGTAGCCCACATACAGTTCGTTGAACGGAATCCGCCGCTCGCCACGCGCCGCAGACGTGACCACCACCTCGGCGCCGAGCGCCATCCACAGCGGGTTGAGGTCAGAAATCGGCGACGCCGTCATGACGTTGCCAGCCAGCGACGCCACGTTGCGGATCTGGTTGCCAGCAAACCAGCGGAGTGCCTGCTCGATGCCAGCGTACACTGGGTTGGCCGTTGCCTCGTCCGCCAGCTGCGTGCTCGCAAACCGCGCCAGCTCGTTGAGATTGAGCGAGGCTCCGAGGTGCAGCGAGGAGCTCGCCTCGTCAACCTCGCACTGCAGCAGCTCGGCCACGCCGCCGGTCGCCACAAGCACCTCAAACTCGGCGTGCTTGAGCTTGGCCTCAATGCCGAGCTCGGTGTTGCCGATCACAAGCTTTGCGCCCGGAAACTCAGCCTTGAGCGTCGCAACCTGTGCCAGCGTCGTCGGCACATACCACGTCGTCTTGGACGTCGGTTCGGTCGCCGGCCGGAACGTCACCACTGGCGCAGCACCGTCGGCCGCTGCCCCGCCGCCGCCATCGCCACGAGTTCCTCTGGCACCTCCACATGCTCTGCAAGGCTCGACGCCGACGATGATGCTGCACCTTGCGCGCTCTTGATAAGCTCGCGGAAGCCCTGCAGGATCGGGCGGTAGCCAGTGCACCGGCAGAGGTTGCCGTCAAACGCGCGCTCGACGTCTTCCTCGCTCGGGTTGGGGTTTGACGCCAGCAGCGCGTACATCGACATGACAATGCCGGGCGTACAAAAGCCACACTGCGAGCCATTCGACTCGGCCATCGCCTTTTGCACCGCGTGGGGACTGCGCGTGTTGCCGATGCCCTCCACCGTCGTAACCACCAGCCCGTGCACCGCCGCCAACGGCGTCAGACACGCGTTAGCCGAGTAGCTCGTCGCCTTGCCGACACTGTCCACCCGCGTCAGCGTCACCGTGCATGCACCGCACCCGCCCTCGCCACATCCAAGCTTGGTTCCGGTCAGACCTGGACTCGTTCACCATCATCGCGGCAGATTCAGATAATCCATCATCAAGCCGCGTACAGGAGCATCAAAAGTCATCAACGGTAGGCAGCCCGCGTCGCCAACAACGATAAATTAACGTTCCCGCAACGGTTTCAACGATTATTTTTCAGATGGTTTTTGGGAATTCCACGTGTGAGTTGCGTTGAGCTTCTGGGGCCGGGAGCGGGGAGACATAGGCATGGTGGTAGGGAGGTAGGGAGTAGGGAAAGACGGGAAAACGTACCACGAGAGCGGAGAAAGGTGAGCAGTGTCTGAGTGGGGTCAAAACTCCCAGGAGTAAGCTCAATCCGGTTGTTGTTGACATAACAGATAAGCGGCGTGGTCGTGGTCATGGTCGGCGCCAGAGAAGTCTGCAGTTGCTACTCAAGTACGACCGACTCGAATTGAGGTCAAAGCCACGGAAAACGGCGGCTCACAGCCACACCGCGGACGAGGCCCACCACATTGCAATTCATCAGTCTGTTGTCGTTATTTGATGTTGGATGTAGGAGTGGGCGATCTAGACCGACTCGTGGCTCGTGTCGATGCCGTGCAATGTTGAGCTTTAATCCTTATCGGGGCGGTCGCTCGGACGCGTCGTCGCGCATCTCAACGTGAACAACTCGATGATGCCTGGCTTCCAGGTCACCTGGCCGACGCTGCTTGACGCCTGCTTGGTCTGCGGCTTGAGGTGGGAGGCGCGCCCGCACGTGATGGCGGCCGACACGTAGACGCCCGCCTGAAGGATGCCCGAGTTGCCGTCGCGGTGGCGGATGCCTGGGAGCATAGGCGAGGCGCGCGAGGTGCCGTACGGCACCGATCCGGAGGAGCGGCGAGCGCGCGGACGGTGCGGAGCTTATCGTTGACGACCTTGACGACCGGGAAGGAGAGCATGCCAGAGTTGAACAAAGCGGCCGAACGGGATAGCGCGAGGACATTGTGGATCTTCTTGCAACGGACGAGCTTGCCGGTCGGCGTAGCCGCGCAAGTGGCGGCGCGCCATCTTGCACTGGATTCTGGACGCCGCGTATGCGCTCTACGCTGACGCGAGCCCACGCCCCGCCATCGCCGTATGTTTTCTGTTGTGGCCCACCAGTGGCCACAGCACTCTTCTACCGCGACTGACGGCCGCTGTGACGTCTGTGGAGCGTCGCGGCACGCGGCTTGCGCGATGGTCAAATGTGTACCGTTAAGGATTAAACGCGACTCTGTCGCCACTGGTATCGTCGGTCTCGCCGGCCTGGGCGTCGTAGCTGGATGCGCTTTGGTCTGAGAGGTTCGAGCCATCAGAGTCGGTGCCAAGGTCTGCGCTCTCGTCGTCTTCGGCCCGTTGTCGGCATCAGCACCTACGGTGGCAACCTTGGCAGCATGGAATCGAACCGCGAGAGTGATAAAAACGATCGAGAGGAGCGAGGCGGCGGCGGCGATAAATGCGCCGACATGGTACGAGCCGGTGGCGTCGCGGAGTAGGCCGGTGACGGGCGAGCCGGAGGCGATGCCCACAAACGAAAAGCCGATAGTAAAGCCGGTGATGGTCGGGATGGACTGGATAGGATATAGCTCGGCCACAAAGGCCGGCGCCAAGCCGATGTACGAGCCGGCGTTGTATGCGTATGCAAAGCCGAGGAGGAGGAACGGCCAGAAGCCCGAGACAAAGGGCCAGACCGCGAGACATACAGCCATGCCGGCGGCGGCGACCCGGAGCATAAGCGGGACGCCGAGGCAGTCGGCGGTAAAGCCGTTGACCAGCCGCCCGGCGATCGAGGCCACGCCCATGGCCGCCAGAATCAGCGCCGCCCGCGACTTGGAGACTCCGCTCTCCTGGGCAGACGGCACAATGTGGATAAAGAGGACCAGAATCGAGTACGAGAGCGTGGCCGAGACCGCGAGCAGTGAGACAAAGACCCGGTCGCCGAGGAGCGCCACAAACGAGAGTCCAATGCGGGCCTTGGCCGGCGGCACCCGCCGGGCGAGCAGCATTGCTGCCGCCACCAGCACCACCATCGAGAGCGCCATCACCCGCAGCGCCACCCGCCACCCGTACGCCGACTCGAGCTCCGAGAGCAGCGGCGCAAAGGCCAGATTGCCCACCCCCGAGCCACACACCGCGAGGCCGAGTCCGGTCCCACGTCGGGCCTGGAACCAGGTCGAGACCGAGACGATGGCCGGAAAGTAGGCCATGCCGAGGGCGGTGCCGAAGACCACCCCGTACGTAGCCAGCAGCATCCAGATCGAGGTTGCCACCGAGCTCACCAGCAACGCAGCGACGCCGATCAAGCCGGCCACCACCGAAGGAATGCGGAAGCCAAAGGCATCGATGACTCTCCCAGCTACAATACCAAAGAGAGTGAGGAAGGCGTTGGCGGTCGAGCCTACAAGCGCCACCGAGGCCTTGGACGCGCCAGCAAACGAGGCCTCGATGGGGACAAACAGAACACCAAACGAGTAGATGAAGCCCAGGACCACCACATGGATGACAAATGATGCAAATACCACAACCCATGCATATCCCTTGTCCGGTGCCCGTTCTCTAGGCCCTTCCATCTCGCCATCGCCACAACCACTGCCACGGCCACCGACTTCCTCGTCGACAGGCACCGAGACACCCGCCGCCTTCTCGCCCCCTCCCGCCCATTTCCATCGCTCTTGGTGACGTCCGCCCCGCCTAGCGGATCCTCCACGGGGAGGAGTCGTCCCATGCCGAGTGCAACAATGGCGATGGGTGTGGAGGTGCACGAGTGTCCACGGGGTGGCCAGCTGGCGTCTCGGGGTGGATGCCACCGTGCCCGATGGGATGCTGGCGATGGCCATGGGTTTCTGGCGATGGCGATGGCGATGGGATGCTGGCGATGGCGATGAGATGCTGGCGATGGCGATGGGTGGCTGGCGATGGCTGACTGGCGTGCTTGGCTTTTGATGCGCCCCTTGATGGCAATTGCTAGCGATAGGTGCCGAGGACAGCCCGAGTGGGACCAGCAGCAGCACCTCACTCGCACCGAGCACCCCCACCCACCCACCCACACGTGCGCGCGGGGAGGGCCGATGGCTGAGCGAGAAGGGAATACTCAAGTGCTCGAGCCATTGCTTCGGACAGATGGACATGTGGCGTACGGGGGCGACAAGAGCAAGCGGCACAAGACTATCCATACTCCGTCTTGGTACCCATCGGTCAGGGTCTCGACGCGGTGGACAGAGGTCCGCAGATCACTGGCAGCTGGAGAGGAGCCGGCTGGATGGCGGGCCGAGAGCAAACGGGAGAAGATGTACTTGTTGCTGAATGGTCACTCGAAGACAGGGCGGATGGTCCAGGGTGCGATCTTGGCTTTGATTGTGGCTAATCTGGCTCTGTTTGTGGCATCGACCGACCCGAGCTGGTCGGCCTCGAGCGAGACGGCCTTTGCATGGATCGAAGGCTGCTCGGTCATCATCTTTACCTTTGAATACGTGGCGCGGGTGTGGTCGATTGTCGAGGCAAACAAGTACGCACACCCGCTATGGGGCAGGATCAAGTTTATGACCAAGGCCGTGTCTCTCATCGACGCTGTCGCCATTCTCCCGTGGTTCATCGGGCTCTTTGTGGAGGCTCTGACGCCGCACGATGTGCCGATCACCACTCCGATCCGCATCTTTCGCGTCCTTCGCCTGCTCAAGACCGAGCAGTACGGGCAGGCGTTTGCCTCGGTCAAGCGGGTTGTCTGGCACAACCGCGAGATTCTCTCGGTCGGCCTCCTCCTCTCGGGCATTCTCCTCTTTGCCACCGCCACTCTTCTGTGGGCGGCGGAGCACAAAGACAACCCGGGCGACTTTGGGTCGATCCCCAAGACCCTCTTTCTTGCTGTCCTCATGCTCACCGGGCAGGGCATCGACTACTCTGGCAAAAACTACTCGACGCTGACGCTCATCATCATCGCTGTTACGGCTGTGGTCTCTGTCGCCTTCTTTGCCATTCCGGCCGCCATGCTCGCTTGGGCCTTCGAGTCCGAGGCCGAGCGTCTTGTCGCTGTCCGCCGGGAGCGGGCCAAGGCCAAGCGGCGCGCAGTCGAGCTGGGCATGACCTATGTCGAGCCGATCACCGACTCGGACTCGTTCTCCTCCGACTCGTCCGGCATGCTCTCATCGTCCGAAGACGGCTCGCCCGAAATCTTTGCCCTCTTTGACGATCCGACCTCGCCGGGCCTCGACGCCGCGCACCTTGGCCTTGTCCTCCGCACCTTTGGCTATGACTTTGACGCCGAGACGCTCGAGGACATGCTCGGGGACGTTGATCCCTTCCGCACCGGCATCATCACCTACCCGCGGCTCCTCACGCTGTTGGCGCGGCGTCGGCTCCGGCGCATCCAGGACCTCGGCCCAGCCGCCGGCGACGAGCCATGGCGGACGGGTGGCCGATTCTCGCCCGAAGACGGCTCCCGCTCGTCTCTCCAGCCGCTCACCGACGTCTCGCACGCCATTGCTGTCCTGAAAGCGCTCTCGCCCGCTGATCGGCTGCAAGCTCTTGCAGCTGTTGCTGCTCCGTAGGCTCGGGAGGTAAAATTGCTACCGCAGCGCGCCCCATCAATTGCCACCGTGGTGTTTGGCCATGTCACACCTGCTGCGCTACCTGGCCCCCCTTGCTGCCACTCCACTCTGGTCATCATGGAGGCGAGCAGCCGGCTGGAGGAGCGGGTGCGGGAGTTAGAGGCACGGGTGCGACGAAAGCAAGCGACTATTGACTCGCTGAGGGGTATGGTGAGGGGCATGAGCACTGGTGGAGGTGGTGGCGGCGAGGGTGAGGCTGGTGCTGGCGAGGCGGGTGGTGCTGACCTGGCCGACGAGCTGGAAAAGTCACGATCGGAGGCTGGCTTTCTGAAAGAGGAGCTCGTGAGAGCCAAGAACAAAGTGACCGAGCTGCGGGCTCTGTTGGGGCCAATGGGGATGAGTGCGCTGATGGATGAGGCTGCAGAGGCAGAGCGATCAGCGAGCAAGTCGAGCAAGGCGCTGGCAGACCTGGAGGCGCGCGCCGAGGAGCAGAAGGAGACCATCGTGGCCTTGCGGGGTGAAGTGGAGACGCTCGGTGCCCAACTGGCTCTGGCGCATGCGGATGATGCTCAGGTCGCTGCTGCTGGGAAGAGAGCTGCACTGGCTGCGTCGGACCTGTCTGATGCTCGCGCAGACAACGCGACGCTGCGGGCAGCGCTTGACGCGGCCGAGGCCGAGCTGGCCCAGCTCCGGGCCGAGGCTGCTGCCGGCCGCACGGCTGCGGCCGAGGCATTTGAGCTGGCTGCTCGCTTGGAGGAGGCCAAGGTGAGCGCGACGACGCTGCGTGGCGAGCTGGCCAGTGCGAGCTCAGCGGCTGCCGAGCTGACCCAGCTCCGCGCCGAGCTCAAGGCGATGCGCAAGCAGCGTGATGCACTGGCGCGTGCGCTGGCCGACGAGGAGGCGCGGACTGAGGCGCTCAAGGGCATGGTCAAGGCGCAAGAAGCCGACGCGCTCGCCGACTACGCCGCTCGAAAGTCGCGCGGTGCGCTCGAGGACCAAGTTGCGGCGCTGACCGCACAGCTCGAGCGGGCTCGTGATGAAAAAGAAGCGATGCGCGCAGCGGCGGCGCGGCTGGCCGAAGCTCGCGAAGATGCAGCAGCCGCCGAGCGGAGCTCGGCGCTCGAGGCTCTCATTGCCACGTCTGCCGGCAGAAGTAGCAACCAAAAGTCTGCTGCACAGCGCGAGGCCGATGTGAGGCTGGCCGATCTCCGCGCTGCGCTACAGGCGGCGGCAGCCGAAAACGCAGCGGTCAAGGACGAGCTCACCGCCGCACGCCACGCCGCTGCGGTCGAGACGGCCAAGGTCAACGACCGCGACGCCACCATTACTTCGCTCCGCGACGCCCTGGCTTCTGCGCGGGCGAGCGCCGACTCGGCAGCCGAGACAGCACGCGCCGCTGACGGCCGGGCGCGGCAGGCCGAGTCTGCGCTCCGAGCGCGGAACGCGGCGCTTGATGCAGCCGAGGCTGCCCGCCGCACCGCAGTCGAGGCAGCAGCTGCTGCCACGACACAGGCGAGCGACGCGCTGAGCGCCGCGGGCCAACTGAAAGACGAGCTCAAGGCAGCCGAGTTGCGAATGCGGCGGGCAGCGAGTGTGGCCGACCGCGCCGAAGACGCTGCGGCGGCTGCGCGCGACGAGAACGCGCGACTGGAGGCCGCCAACAAGGACCTGGCGCGGCAAATCGAGGCGCAAACGGCGGCAGCGGAGGCGGCAGTCGAGACGGCTCGGCGGGCAGGGGAGCGGAGTGCTTTGCTGGCAGGGGAGCTGGACGCTGTCCGCGGCAAGCTGGCGGCGACCAAGGAGTCCAACGCTGAGCTCCAGGCACTCGCGCGTGAACGATCAGCAGCAGTGTCGGCGCTGGAGCGCCAGATGGATACGGCGTCGGGCTGGCGGAGCTCGGCGGCATCGAGTGCAGAGGCTGCAGCGTCGAAGCGCGACGAGGCGGCGTCGCTGCGTGCGATTGTGGCGAGGCTGCAAGATGAGAACGACGGGTTGCGAAGCGCAGCGGCGGCGGCCGGCGACCGTGAGGCAGCGGCTGTGAACGCCAAGGCGAGGCTGGAGGCCAAGGTTGCGGGCCTGCGATCGGAGCTGGCGACTGTCCGGGCGCAGCACCGCGAGGAGCGGGCTATTGTGTCGACGTCGGCAAGCACGGCGGCGGCGGCGTCGTCACGGGCGGCGGCCGCCGCTGCAACGGTCTCGGACAAAGACGAGACCATTGCGCGGCTGCGAAGCATGGTGCTCAAGCTGCAGGCGCGGCTGGCGGGTGCTGGTGCTGACGAGCAGGAAGCCAAGATAGCGAGCCTAGAGGAGCAGGTCGAGCACGCCAAAGCGACGTCAGCACAGCTGCGGCGGGTGCTTGCTACGTACCAGGCCGAGGCGCGCGACGTGTCGCGGGCGGCCGATGCGAGCTACGGCGGCGTGCCGCGGGCGGCGGACGACGCGGCGGCGGTGGCGAGCAAGCTGCGGAAGGAAAACCGGCGGCTGAAAGAGATGCTGACGTCGGTGCGAAGTGACAACGATGCGCTGCGGGCGATGGTGGCTCGGGCGCGCGGGCGGTGAGTTTGGATTTAGGAACGAGTCACAGCTCGGGCTTGTTGTCCGAGTCGGCGAGGGCACGGGCGAGGGCGGTAAAATCAAAGAGGAATGGTGCGAGGAAGCGGGCGAGCCACATGGCGACGATGGCGACAGCGACAAGGGCGATGGCGGACTTGACCCAGCCGCGGGAGGAGGTGACCGAGCCAGCGCGGTCTCGATCGGCGGCGCAGAGCTGCGCGTGTGCGGAGGCCTCGGCGGCCTTGCATGCGTCGGAGCAGTAGACGGCGGCGCAGGTCCGGCACGCGTTGTCGACCGTGAGGCTGACGGCGGCCGGCAGCGTGTCGCAGGTCGGCATGCAGCAGGGCGAGAACGGAATGGCGCGAGGGAGACGCGTCGAGATGTGAGCGTAGACGCGGATGGTTTGGACAGTGGCTGGGTCGGGCGAGAGCTGGCCCGGGTTCCACATGCGGAGCAGGCGCATGGCGGCGCGGTAGCGGGTGAGGTCGGCGATGCCGGCCCGGATGTCGTCAGGCGCGTTGGCGATGGCGTCGTCTGATGTCTCGTGCTTGAGCAGCCGAGTAGTTGCCAGCTGGAGCGAGGCGAGCGCGGTGTACCAGTGGCAGTCGGGCGCGGTGGCGAGAAAGGCCTCGATGGCGGCGGCGGCGTCGTCCATGGCAGCGTCGGCGTCGGCTGGACAGTCAGCCTCGCGGAGCTCTGTCGCCCGCGAAGTGTGGATGTGACCGAGGAAGAGATGGGCTTCGCCGCGCAGCTCGCTGCCGGGCACATCTTCGGGAAGAGCGAGAGCGTCGGTGAAACAGTTCTCGGCAACGTCGACGATCTCGGCGTGTGCGGGGCCAGCAAAGGCAACCGACCACATGACGAGGATGCCAGCGAGGAGCGGAACGCGAAGATCGCCCCCAGCAGCAACAATGGTGGCGTGCTGGACAAGTTGCATCGATTTCGCAACAAGCCGGAGGATGCTGCGCATGCGATCGCTCCGGGCCTCGCGGCCGGCGTCGTCGCCCTCGCCGGGCGGCGGAGCAGCGTTGAGCGCAGAAGCCTGTCGAAGCGCAGCAAAGTGAAATGCAAAAGCAGCGACCATGCAGCTGGCAATCGAGTCGTCGTCTGCGCCCTCTTCCAACGCAAGCACGCCCTGCAACTTGCGGTAGCGATCAGGCGAATCGAGGATGTCTCCCCAATCAAGAGCGACCACAGCGATGAGCATGGCCTCGTACAGCATCTCGCACACTGCGCGACCTTGTGCGCGATGCTTGCTCCTCTCCGCCTCGTCCATGCTCTCGCCACCAGGGCGAGCATCACCAGTATGGTAATCGGCATCTGTGCCATGATCGGCATCGGCATCGGCATCGGTATCATTGACGCTGACCTCTTGGTTCTGCGCCAGGCTACCGGAGTCGTCGACGGGGAGAAGCGGAAAGTGGTCAAGGGCAACAAGACCAGCCGACCACTTGGTAAAGGCGGAGAGCACTCGCTTGCCTGTCGGCGTTGTGCCGATTGCCCCAATGGCGCTGAATTGGTATGGGAGGCTGGTCATGGCCGAGTCGAGTGCGACGGCGGACAGGGGACGGGCGACGGGCGACGGGCGACGGGCGACCGGGACCGGGACGAGAGCCGGTGAGATGCGTGAATGGGAGCATTGTATAGCTGGATGATTAGATGAGTCAAGGGGGGCACGGGGGCGGGGGGGGGGGGGGAGGGGGGGGGGTATCGGATCAGACTCGTGTTTGCCATCATCATCATCATGGTCATCATCATGGTCATCATCATGGTCATGGTCATCCATCATGGTATTCGTCATCATCATCATCATCTCCATCATCATCTTCATCATCATTCCCATCGCCATCATGTGGTCGGTTAGGATGATTGACGCTGTCTCAGTCTGCACCTCGGTCTCGGTCTGCACCTCGGTCTCGGTCTCGGTCTCGGTCTCGGTCTCGGTCTCGGTCTCGGTCTCGGTCTCGGTCTCGGTCTCGTCTCACTTGGCTCGGGTCCGAGTCAATCAAGAGTCACTCAACTCTACCACACTACATACTATGGCCGACACCATTACGCTCTCGTCGCATGTACTCGACACGACCACTGGGTAGGCTAGTGCATGCATGCCTTCTCTATACCCACCACTTGGGGCTACTTCCCATCCCCCCATCCGTCAACCCACTCATGTTGCTCTCTGTCTCTTCTGTTCTGCTGTCTGTTGTATCGGCTGTGGCCGGCGGCGATGTCGGCGGCGGCGATGTTGGCGGTGGTGTGATCGGGCTCTGGCCATTCCGACGAGCGAGAGCAGTCGCCCTGCTGCTGGGCTTGCTGTCGCGCTGGAGAAGTTTGATGGTTCGACGTACACCACCATCGCAGAGGCGGTTACCAACGATGATGGTCGGGTTGGGGATGTAGGTTGAGGCCGAGAGAGTGTGACGAGGGATTGAGATAGCAGCCAATGGAGCCGATCACGGCCGATCAAGTCGATCAAGCCGAGTACGGCTGATCGAGCCGGTTACGGCTGATTGAGGAGCTGAGAGTGTATGGAAGGGAGCAGAGATGCGTATGGATGGAGCGATGGCATTCGGTTAGCGCACTCACCCCTCATGCCTGATTTTGCCCGTGATACGGTGGAAAGTGGGCCTCGCGGAGCCGCTCACCAAGGCTGTGTACCGGATCACCTTTGCTACCGGCGAGTACTATGCCAAGGAAGACAAGCCATGCTTCTATCCGGTTGTTACCATTCTCTTTGACGCCTCGGTCGAGTCTGGCCACTATCATGTCCCGTGCATCCTCTCCTCGCACGGCTACTCGACGTACCGCGGCTCGTAACCACCATCATCCACCCTCACCCAACTCGCTTACTCTGCCCACCCTGGCCCTGATCGTCCTAATCACCGTCATCCCCTTGATCGCCCCCAATCGCCCTAATCCTGGCCTGATAGCCCTCCCCTCCCCCCCCCCCGCTCCCACTCCCGCCAACCCCCCCCCCA